GTTAACACACCTAGGTCCGGGATTTCCAGTCTGCCCAGTGATGGAGCCAGCTCCATTTGTCTGATAAAATGAGCCGCTAGGTTCCCACTCAAGACATTGTAGCATTCTGAAAGTGTCAAGAGTCAGTTCTGAGAATTTGACCTGGGCATCAAAATGAAAAGATATATGGAATCATTACTGTCCATTGAACTAAGGATGCAACAAGTAAAAGCACCCATTTACACAACCAAAAGAGCATAAAAAAGATACTGATAGCTCTAGAAGTAAGAAGAGAAGTTTATTCCAAGCTACTAACCTCAGTAGGATGATAACTGCACAATAGTGCATCTCTTAACCTTAGCTTTCTTTTGGTTTGAACAACATGTGGCAGACAATCTGAATGAAGGTCCAATACAATGCTATACCTCAAAGGTCTGATGTTGAAAAAAGCTGTGTCAGCTTTTAGAAATTTAGCTATTTCCTGAATGACCACCTTCCATTCTTTAAAATCAGTTTCCTGTAAATATGAGAGTTTAAAAGTCATTAATCAGGACTGAGAATGTCTCACTCTGTTATTCAGAAAATGCCAGTGAGGCCAATATATACATAGAATCTGTATGGTTAACATTTCAAACAAGCCAAATTTTATTAAGAAATAAATACCCATCACAGCAAGAATAAACCCAAATAAAACAAACCAAATCAAGCATGCCCAGTATATCTCACTTGGAAGTAAGGTCTAGGGAGGATAAGAAGTACTGTCAGTCTCTCACGCTACCTCTAGGATTGGAGAGGTTTTTGTGAACCCAGCAAGCAGTAAAAGGTAGTGTGAGCAGTGTTGAGGTACCAAAGCAAGCTCAAAATCCAGGAAAATGTAGAATAACATGAAGAAGCAAAAAACATGACAGCAGCAAAGCAGAAAAGGACAAGAAGAAAAATATGGTAAGAGACTAAGAGGGAAAATAGGCAAGCAATGAAAGCAAGAAAACAAGGTACTAGCTAATGCTACCCAACTACACCAAGCTACATAGAGGGTCATGATCAGAGCCTAGCCCCTAACATCACTTGCTCATAACTCTACCAGGATTCAACAATTTCAATATGGTGCCTCCAAGAACTCCTATCAGAGGACAGATGTATGTCCTTGGCAAGGTTTAAGGCCACGCACTCCAATATCAGATGATCATCCCGCATCGTCTCAACCGAAATGTTCTTCACTCTCTTCACTAGTGTCATCACATCACTGCGGTGGAAGTGGACATACCAATGCAGTCTTCCCTCTCTTACTTTATCAGTAATAGACTTGACTCCTTACTCTGTGTGGAAAACTCCATTCAGTTTTATGTCCAACATGGTACAACCACATGAAGCATATACCATGGGATGCTCTCCTAGATCCCTATGGAAAGCACATCCAAAATTCATCACTAAGAATGGAACCATTGTAGTGCACTCTAAAAGTGAAGTAACTTTAGTCTTAGTTGCATTCCGGATGAACCATAGTCATTTTTTTATGAAAAGGGGATATCTAGAAAATGAAAGCATTTCCAATTTGTTCATTTCTATAAAATCTTCACACCCAATGATGAATGATCTCCTAAAAATGCTACAAATGCAAGTAACTTTTAGATCTGAACATGCACCAATTTTTGGTAAGGCAAGTGAGTGATTTTATAATACTACAAGTTCACAACTCCCATTCGGTTTGCATAAAGCATTAAATGATTGGAAGAAAGTATCGAAGCTGACAACAGCAAGAATATTATGTCCATCATTCGCTTAAGTATCCACTATAAGGAGTTAGTTTATCAAGCATGCAGCTAACAAAACTAATGGAGCAGAAAAGCCAGCCACTGATTATGAAAAATTTCCCAAGATTAAAAAGTTTCACATAAACAAATACTCCGTAACATGTTTCATGCAAGGGAATATGACCTGGAATGCCTTGTTGCACTCATCAAGCAACATTTTGAGCTGATTTACCAACTGAAGCACCATTTCTCGTCGATTCAACACCAAACAGACAGTAAGAAATCTAGAAATGAGCCTCAATTGCTTGCATGCAAGATTAACATCCTGAATCACGCTATCTTTGAAATACTCTCTGGTCAAAACAGCCTCATAAAATATATAAGATTCTGACAAATAACTGGCCTCACTAGTCCTCATGTACTGCCCAAAGTAAAGCTGACCAATCCGAGATGCAATATCACCAATCTCCCATCGCTTGAGACCTGCTTCCACCAATTTCTGTCGATTCTCTTGCTGAAATTTCCACAACTGAGTATAAACCTTGAAAACCTTGTAGAAGTAAGTATCATACCTGCATTTAAAAATCATGGCATAGGAGGGAAAGTAAGGTCAGTAAAAACAAAACCAAGTCAACTATACCTCAAATATCACCAATAGAAGGTCAAATTTTCCCATCCCAATACATTGCTTAAACATGAAATCAATGAGAAAGTGCAAAATTTGATAAACACACACCATTGAAACATTACTACCACACTATATTCTTTTAAACCATCTCTGCAAGTCTAGGTTCGGTCTTCATACCCAGTGAGCTCTATACAAATTCAAATCCCCTTAATCCTCCAATACAAAACAAAGCTCTAAAGCCTATGACTAAAAGAGCTTCTTCTATCAAAGTTAACTTCATATCCCAAAACCTTCATGTAATCATGCGAACTCAAAATGTTCAGAGTGCATTGATCTGCCATACCCAATTACTCACTATTCAAAAAACAGTAACTTAGAAGGAATAACATTCTCCCATGAGCAGCTAAGCTCATTATTTAATGAAATCTGGAAAGCTTGGGGCGCAATTCATGTAGATTGATGAATACTTTCAGAGTTTCAGCAATCCAACTAACAAGAAGAAGAGAAATTCATTTGACCCCGTGTAAAAAAGAATTTGCGGAAAAAACCTGCTGCGATGGTAATACGGGAGATCACGAATCTTGGAGAACTTCTTGTCTGCCTTGGAAACCAGAGTCCAGTACACTTCGCTCACAGGAATGCTGCCGCTGCTACTGTTGTTAATGCCCTGATGATGAAGGTGATGATGTGACATTTCCACCTCCGCTCCCTTATGCGATCGTATGCGGCAGAGTTTCCCTCTCTCTAAAGCTAGAAAAAATCATGTAAATGGACTGCCACACCAACAAATCAGACTGAAATGAAGAAAAAAAATCCAAAGCATACCTAATTAGCTTTACTTAAAGCACTTAAACTAGGGAAGAATCTCATACTCTGGGCTCAAAATATCACTTTTGTCCTTATTTTTTTTTTTTTTGTGATGATAAAATGGGAGAGGGTGGGAACACATAAATATTTTCATATTCGGACTCGTTGTATAATATATATCTATTTATTTATTTATATAATGATATAACACAACACCGACAAACAATTCAAATGTAGATCTCGCATGAGTCGTCGTCTTTTCATCTGGGTTACCAGTGATTCGGTGATTGTGCACTGCAGAAGTATCTTAAACTCTTTATGTGTGATGTGTGTTTCTCATATTAGTCGCTCTTTTAATGTTGTCGCTCATGTATTAGCTAGGCAAGTTGAGTTTACTACTGGTGTTTGGGAGTCTGTTCTTCCCGGCTTTATTGTTTCTCTTCTGAGTTGATCTAATTGGATATTCTTTTCTTTCAAAAAGGTGCACTGCAGCGCTACGACAATTGACACACGACACATCTGCTGTTTCACTCGATGAGTATCTATGCATGTCCGACCAAATTAAACACCGTATGAATTCGTGTGCGAGTTTTGCAAATGGGATACGAGGCGATACAACAAAGAATATTTGCGAAGCCAACACAAAAAAAATATATAAGCTTCACAGGCTGCCCACCAAGCCCGACACGGATTTCCTCACATGTTAGGTAGTATTGATTGTCTGCACTAAGTGTGGCGTAATTGTCTCAATTTATGGCAAGGACAATACACGTACTTTGATCAGGGGCAACCCACAATCATACTTCAATTTAATTTGTTGTCATGCAATATCTTTGGATATGGCGTGCCTTTCTTGGTGTGGTCGGTTCCAACAACAATTTGAATATTCCGAGACAATGGGATATATTCAATGATATCGTGCATGGTTGTGGTGAAATACACGCACAAGTATTGTCTTGTCTACAATATATATTCAGATTGCGCGGGTATAGTCAAAATTATACCATTTTGTGATGATCTGAAGAGAAAGAAGTTTGCCAAATACCAAAAATCGACAAGAAAAAATGTGGAACGTCATCTTAGTGTGATCAACCAAGAATGACACATAGTGCAAAACTCGGCGTGAGCATTCTCACCCAAAAATTATGTAATGTTATGTACACTTGTTGCATCCTACATAACATGATTATTGAAGACGAATGACACACAATATGCAAATACAATCTAAACGACGTGAACAAATTCGCATTGCACAACACACATTCACACCAGAACCCTCGTTTCAATTTGATTGGGCATTTCTGGAATTCTGCTACACTATTGTTGGATGGCGAATAATCTTTTTTTATTGTAATCCGTACTTTTTATACTCTACCAACTTTTTTATGGCATGATCTCATTGTAATTTTAACTTAAATAAAATATTTATTTTAAATATTTCTAATTTAAATATAATAAATGTAAAAAAGGAATATAATAGAATGAAAAAAAGGTTAGAAGTGATAGTGTAATGGGTGTGTTCCTACATAACTAAATGTGATGAAAAAATTTATTATTCCCTATTTCTAAATTTTACTCTATCTATCTTTAAAAGATTATCACAATAGGTTTTTTTGACTAAGTATGACACTGTTTGACCATGAGTTAAATATGATTTAAAATTATTAAATTTTATAAAAATTTGATATTTCAAACCTCTATTTTAAAATAAATTTAATTTTACTAACACTATTTTTTGTTCAAAGATTTTGAAAAGGAAAAGAAAACAAAATGAGATTGGAATTTTTTTTGGTTAGATAGCAAAAAAAGGCAAAATGTGGGAAAACAAAATTAGTCCAAGATGCCCGGCGCCGGAGTCCATCCCTTGTTCAGCTCAGGTTCTTACTGGTATTTTTTGACGTGACTAGGCATCAGTTAATTACGCGAAGATGACCGGCGCCGGAGCGACTTCGCCGAGGAAACACTTGGCCGCTTGTTGTCTATCGCACGAGTTCCACAAACGCGCGTCCGCTAACCCAAACGGGATTGCAGTGATACACGCTTGCGGCGGTGGTCGGCTTTCGCAAGATTTCCGCCTCAATGAGAAAGAAGACAGTAGCGGGCAAACCTCAATCGGATTCGATGAGCTCGTACCGGAGAAGAGGGTTTCATTTCACCCTATAACTTACGAAGGCGATATCTGCTTCACTTTCTCTGACATTCTCTCGGCCGTCGAATCTCTTAGTTCAAGGCTCCGCCGGATTCTCGACGGCGTTGATGTTTCTCTTCCTATTGAACAGCATTCAGGTATGCACAACCCGGCCGGTTATAGTGTATTAGCTGACTACTGTAATCATTAAGATATTAGTTATTCAACATGATGTGAAAGCTGTAAGCATTGAAGTTTCTTGTGAAGAATAAATTGCACCACATAGTTAGCTTCATACCTTACCAACAATTGCGTTAGCGAATGATATTTGTGAGCAAATTTTTTCTGGTTTGCTTTTGTGTATGAACATGCATTAGTACATGGTTTGCTTAGTCATGATCTTTTTTTTACCTTCCTATCATTCAACTTCTTGTTGTCCTGTGTTCTTTTGGCATTTTTCTTTTTTTCCTGGTGGTTCCTGCTTCTTACTCATCTGAGGTTAGCAGGGAATGACACACTCAGGGATGAGTCAGTACAGGTTAAGAATTCTGGATCTATGGATTCTTCTGGTCCACGTGTACACCGGTTCAATGAATCTCAAAAGACATATACTCCAAAAGTAATCGGAATATATATGGAGCCATCTATTGAATATATTGTTACAGTCCTCTCTGTACTAAGATGTGGAGAGGCTTTTATGCCTTTGGACCCATCATGGCCTAACGAGAGGATATCACGAGTACTATCATTTTCAAAACCAGAACTTGTTGTTGGTTGTAGGTCTCCGGTTTATAGTAGTTTTCACAGCATCGATAAGTTAGATTGGCTCTTTCATGATGCAAGCTGTCCTATTTTCTCTATACGTATTGAAGATTACATAAAAAAGAATGATTCTGTTTCGTTGGATTTAGTGTGGCCTTGTGAAAGAGTAAGGTTAAGATCATTCTGTTACCTGATGTACACATCTGGGTCTACCGGGGAGCCTAAAGGTGTATGTGGCACTGAAGCAGGTGATAATTATTGTGATTCGCGTGTTAGCTGGCACTCTTCCATTCATTTTACTATTCAAGGCATAACTTTAATAACTTGCAGGTCTTCTGAATCGCTTTTTATGGATGCAAGAATTGTACCTCTTACATCTTGAAGATCGGTTGCTCTTCAAAACATCAATAAGCTTCATCGATCATTTGCAAGAGTTTCTTGGAGCTCTGCTTGCCACTTGTACGTTGGTTATACCCCCTTTCAATCAGCTCAAAGAAAATCTGTTTTATATTGTCAATATTTTACAGGTAGATCTACAACATTAATTTTATTAAAAAAACATTCTTGTTTACTCCTCAATGCGTGAAGGGAGACCATGATCACTTTTATCATTTATATCTGTCTAATCCTGGACATCCATTGTAGAAATCTAAGAATTGAATGTTTTTAATATGCATACACAGGATTACTCGATTGGGAGGATTATAGCTGTTCCATCACTTATGAGAGCAATACTTCCTGCACTCGAAAGTGCACATTTAAAGACTATTCAAAGTTCTTTGAAAGTTTTAGTATTAAGTGGTGAAATTTTACACCTTTCCCTGTGGAAGGTCCTTGTGAGGTTACTGCCCCGGACTGCTATTTTGAATTTATATGGGAGTACAGAGGTATGTTTTAGCACGCGTTCCAACTGGCCACACCCATTCAATTCTGATATACTCATAGTTGATCTCCATTGCTCATGTTTTTTTTGGATATTGGTTTGCAAGTAGGTTTCTGGTGATTGTACATACTTTGATTGCAAGAATTTACCTCTGATCTTGGAGCTTGAAAATCTGAGTGATGTTCCTATCGGTTTGCCTTTGTACAATTGTGATATTCTGCTCCATGGAGATGGTGATCCCAATGAAGGAGAGATATGTGTCAGTGGACTCTGCCTTTCAGCAGGATACTTTAATTATCCATCTGTTTTGCCATTGGACTATGTAGAATTATCTCAGGGCTATGACACTGATAGCACCAACCATAGAGTTCAACGATATTTTAGAACCGGGGATTTTGCTAGAAAACTTCAAAACGGGAACTTTGTTTTTATAGGTAGAAAAGACCGCACTGTAAAGATTAGTGGGCAGCGTATTGCTTTGGAGGAGGTTGAAAATGTTTTGCAGGAACATCAAGAAGTGGCTGATGCCGCTGTTATTTTCCGTAATGGAGATATTTCTCTCCTGGAAGCGCATCTGATAATGAAGGATAAGAGTGAACAAGTTGACATATTGGGTTCTATTATGAATTGGATAGCTAGAAAACTCCCCCCGGCTATGGTTCCTGTTCGTTTCATCTTTGCCGAGTCATTTCCCACGTCTTTCAGTGGAAAAGTGGATTACAACCTATTGGCAAGTAGTTGTGTGTGCAACACAGTGTTCAACAGCGGGGTCGATGAAACTCAAGATTTGGATCTGATTCAAACTATCAAGAAGGTTTCTGGACTTCAAATTTGAAGACGCTTAACAATATATTCTGCCATACTACCTCCATTCGGATTAGTTGTTCACTTTCTCGTTTTCGTTTATCCGATATTACTATATTAGTTGTCTACTTTCCATATATAATAATGAAATTATAATGAATTGTCTAAAATATCTTAGAGATAGAGTATGAGCATGGACGCATGGTTGAGATGTATGAGAACGAGGGATAAACTCATTTGAAAGACTTATTTCAGTTATTTGACATTTGAAACTCATTTCTTTAAAATGAATTTTTTAGAAAGTAGACAACTAAATCTGGACGGAGGGAGTATTTCTTTTGTCTATTTATTAGTATCTTTCCCAAATTTATGTAGACTAATAAAAGGGCTAGTGGAAATGCAGGAGTAACCATTGAATTGCAGGACAGTAGGAGGGTTTAGAAGGGAAGTGAAAATATTATGACTGAATTTTTGAAACTTAGTCTTTTTCTTTTCTGAACAGGGGACCTTTGGTAGAGAATAGAGATGCCATAATGTTTATGAACATTGCACAATATATTGTTCTTATGTGAATAATTTTGTTTTGGGAGGGGGGGGGCAGAGGGGGGGGGTATAAACAACTTTTCCTGAAATGCCGTTATAAATGGGACTGGAGGGAGTTCATGATAAGGTTGTGACATTGTGTACACATGACCTTAATAACCCGACCATTCCTTAGAACCTTGCACTTGGAAGAACGCTTATACATCACACCACCCTTTTCGTATTTTAAGAGACAACTTTCAAGTTTCAACAACAAAAACAATCCAGTATAATCCCGACTTCTTGATGTCTGACCTTACCCCTGGAAATACAGAGGTACTGTTTCTGTTAGACCCTTGAGGCCTTGATTCATTGTTGCATTTACTACCCAAAACTTCATTGAAAGTATGAAGTCACAGAAGTTTAATGTGCTCTTTTGATTTAGTCCATTCTTTACCCAAGGCTAAAACATTCTCATTTATGACTCTTTTATCTCCATTTGCAATGGACATGCTTCAGCTAAATACCAAGGGACAACCTTGACTATATTTTTTTAAATGATATACTCTGTATTAAACATTACAAGCTCAAACTCGGGGCATTCCTACATGGCATATTCTCATACTCATAATTAGTTTATATTCCTTGAGGTAGTGCCTTACATTATAGATATTTGTTTTGCAGGCTTTTTGTGATGGTCTAAAGGTTGATAACATCTCTCATAATGCTGATTTTTTTGAGATGGGTGGTAATTCTATTTCCGCTGCCTATGTCTCTTACACTTTAGGAATCAATATGAAGGACTTGTATACTTTCCCAACACCAAAGAAGCTTCAGTTGGCACTTCTGAGAAATGAAGTTTCATCCATTCATGATCTTACATCACGTGCTTCAAAAGGAGTGGATTACAAAGCGCCAGACAACAGTAAGTCTCTTTCTGTCAATTCAAAGGAACCATGTCATAGTAGAAGAGTGCCCCTTAGCAGACAATCTATGAAGCGCCTTAAGATGAATCCTGACAGATCTATTGATGTTAGTGCAAGAGATGATTCCAATTCCAACTTGGATCTTATCAAATGTTCATTTAGTCGATGCAACCATGTGAAGCATGCAGATAAATGCGGGGGGGATAAATGCTATATTGTGCGCATGCAAGAATTTCCAAGCGATGGAAAAGTTTCAATACGAGAATACTGGAAAGTTCACATGGACTCTTGTGTTGATGCATCACCACTAGTCGTGTATACAGAAAGTGATGTCTATGTGCTTATAGGATCTCACTCCCACAAGTTTGTTTGTATAAATGCCAACAGGTACGGATGATTTGGACAACTTTAATTAAGAATCTCAATATATCATCTTTTTCCTAAATTCATAACATGATTTTCATCCTATTGAGCTGATCCCAGACAAACCAGTGTGAATGGTGTGCTTATCTAAATGTTCAAAACTGTTTTCTCAAAACACTAGAGTGACTTGAAGTTTGGTATTTTGGCATAAAATTTGTATTGTAAGAGTAGGGTAACATCTTTCCTTATGGACGATTTGATGTTTGTTATGATGGAAAGTGTTAGGGGTGAACCGGGGATCTTATCAAGTTTATAATTTAGTGGCGGATGTGCGGAGGAAAATGGAAGGGAAATAGTGGGCGAAAGTATGGAGGGTGTTTTAGGAGTTCTTTTTTGGTATTTTATGGAAGAAAAAGAATAGGATTAAGAAGGAGAAATGGAGGGATATGAAATGGAAGAAATATCACGGATGGATAAAACCAAGTTGGTGTTAGGAGATATTACACACTCTTATCCTAACTTGGGGTTTGAATCTAGAATTCAATTAAGATATTACACACTTAATCAAATATCTAGAACCTAAAACTCACACTTAAGATAACCACTCTTAAGATATAGAATTAGGAATTTGGCTAAAATAGCATCACACTATTTTAATAATACTCAAAGAGTAAATGGTTTTCAATATTCAAAGATGTGTTACAATGGCCATAAGGCCTGATTATATATAGGCAGGGGAAGGGGGAAGAAATACACAATACATTGAATGTAGACATAAGGAAACTTCCTGTCTTCTTCTCCTAAATCAATAGCATGACCTCCACTTGTTGTTGTCCCTTTGGTGGGTAAAAAATCAGGGATAAGTTGTACTTGTGTGGATGGTGTTTTGGCCAGTAGTGAATGGTAAGGATAGGTGAATGTATCTCACTTATTTGATTGGGTTTTGGGGGAAATAATTCTGGACAGGGAAAGGGTTAAATGAGGGAGATGGGCTGGCTGTTTTAGAGGCATTTCTTAGGCAGGATATGG